CTTCCCAGAGATCGGCTTTGCACGTTTCTCAGATGTGCTGGTTCAGAAAGGCTACAAGGTGGCTCGTGTGGAGCAGACGGAGACCCCAGACATGATGGAAGCGCGCTGTAAGAAAATGGCTAGACCCACCAAGTTCGACCGTGTGGTGAATAGAGAAGTGTGCCGCATTATCACACGTGGCACCCAAACCTACAGCGTGTTGGACGGGGCTCCGTCCGAGAGTCAGAGCAAGTTCCTGCTGAGTTTAAAGGAAAAGGCTGAAGAGGAAAGCTCGGGGCGCTGCCGTACTTACGGAGTCTGCTTTGTAGATACCTCTGTGGGTTATTTCCATGTCGGTCAGTTCCCAGACGACCGACACTGTTCACGTCTGCGCACCCTGATAGCACATTTTGCCCCTGCTGAAGTGCTCTTTGAAAAGGGGAACCCATCTGCTGAAACACGCAAAATATTTAAAGCCTCTCTGTCCTCTGCTCTGCAGGAAGGGCTTAATGCTGGCACACAGTTCTGGGATGCTCAAAAGACTCTGAAAAACCTCTCTGAAGAAGATTACTTTAGAGAGGCCGCTGGCAAGGATCAGGGGAAAGGGAAAAACGCTCTTCCTTCTCTTCTAAAAAAGATGACCTCCAAGACGGATTCACTGGGCCTTACTCCTAAAGAGGGCCATGAGCTGGGACTGTCCGCACTGGGAGGATGTATTTTCTATCTGAAGAAATGCCTGGTTGACCACGAACTGCTCTCTTTGGCCAACTTTGAAGAATATGTCCCTGTTGACGTTGAGCTGGAGAAAGCTGCAGGACGTGACAATTTCTTTTCCCGGACTCGTCAGCGGATGGTCCTTGACGGAGTTACTCTAGCAAACTTGGAAATCTTTCAGAACGGCTTAGGAGGAACTGAAGGGACGCTGCTGGAGCGCTTGGACACCTGCTCTACCCCATTTGGCAAGAGGCTGTTGAAGCAGTGGCTCTGTGCTCCTCTGTGTAACCCGTCATCCATCAAGGACAGACTGGACGCTGTGGAGGAGCTGATGGCAGCTCAGGCCCAGGCCACTGAGGTTTCAGACCTGCTGAAGAAACTCCCAGATTTGGAGCGTCTTCTGAGTAAAATCCACAGCATCGGCACTCCTCTGAAGGGCCAGGATCACCCTGACAGCAGAGCCGTTCTCTATGAGGAGGTCACATACAGCAAGCGCAAGATCACAGACTTCCTCTCAGCACTGGAAGGTTTCAAAACGATGCAAGAGATCATCACTGTCCTCACTCCAGTCGCAGGCAACTCTCAATCCAAGTTGCTCCATCAAGTTGTCAGTCTGAAAGGTGACAAGGATGGCCTCTTTCCCGATCTCTCTGCTGAACTCAAACGCTGGGACAAAGCCTTCGACCATAACAAAGCCCGCACCACCGGCGTCATCACACCCAAAGCCGGCTTTGACCCAGAGTTTGACGAGGCTCTGTCCTCCATCAAGGACTGTGAGCGGGAGCTGCAGGATTACCTGGACCAACAGAAGAAGAGGGTTGGCTGTAAAAACATGTCCTACTGGGGGACCGGGCGAAACCGGTTCCAGATGGAGGTGCCCGACAGCATCTCGGAGAGGAATATTCCCGAGGAGTACGACGCAAAGTCTACAAAGAAAGGCTGGAAGCGTTATGTGACAAGGGAATCTGAACGGCTTTTCTCAGAGCTGCAAGGATATGAGGAGAAGAGAGACGCTGCCCTGAAAGACTGCATGAGGAGGCTCTTCTACAACTTCGACAAGAACTACAGAGACTGGAAGACTGGTGTGGAGTGCATGGCAGTGCTCGGTGATTACATTATTATTACTTATTCTTTTGATTATTTTTACAGCATGCATCAGTCAAGTTTATCCTTTCATACCTTTGTGTTACTGCAGTAAGAAACACACACATAATTGTTCATATGAGTGAAATTTCCTTTTAAGTTTTTGAGAAAGAAACGGCTTTTGGCCTTTTGAAAACGAGTGTGCATTGCAGGTGTCTGCGCTAAATTCATTTCCTGCAAATGTTACAGAAACACCTCCATAAGGTGCATTTAATATGATGCTGCCGCAATCTAAGTGCTTCCTGTTGTAACCATTCCATCATTCCACTTGGCTAAGTTGGCACTAATAAGTTTGTTTTCCTCTCTAATGGAGATTGTGCACTGTTGTCTCTCCTGACATAGGGAGAGATAATTACATAGTTTAGTTCTCATCTCCAAAATAATGTGCTTATAATGTGTTTTCCTGCCACTGGGTCATCAAACAACCACTTTGGTTTAATTTATTTAGTTTTAAGAGCTGCAAAATCATCCCATAAAATCTAAAGAAAACTGGAAGCTAATTATCATCTTTAGAGTTTTAAAGGACATCTGCTCCAGTTCCTAACTTGTATGACTTATCATGTTTTCAGATGTGCTGCTGGCCTTCTCTCGCTACAGTCAGGGCGGAGACGGCTCCATGACCCGCCCACAGGTGGTGCTCCCCGAGGGTGATGACCAGGTAGCACCCTTCCTCGACCTCACCGGATCCCGCCACCCCTGTGTCACCAAGACCTTCTTTGGCGACGACTTCATCCCGAATGACGTCTTCATCGGCTGCCCTGGCAGCAGTGAGGCTGGTGAGGAGAACGGGCAGGCCTCCTGTGTCCTCGTCACCGGGCCAAACATGGGGGGGAAGTCTACCCTCATGAGACAGGTGGGTTTATTTATCTAACGGAGCATTTATTTTGTGTTTAAACAGGAGTTGTTAGACTGGAAGTAATCTGAATGTTTAGATCCACATGGACAGTGCAGGTCTGTTTTGAAGTCTCTGTTTGCCTTTTATTGAGATACCGGGTCGCTTTTTTCCCCCGCAGTGTGGACTTGTGATCATCCTCGCTCAGCTGGGTTGCTACGTGCCCGCTGAGAGCCTGCGCTACACGCCTGTCGACAGAGTCTTCACTCGGCTGGGAGCCTCAGATCGTATCATGGCTGGTAATGTCAAAAACGTCAGAAATGTCTTAATCGTTCACCTTAAGATTAAGTTTAATAATGTATTTTTGAATGTGTTCTTTAGGAGAGAGTACCTTCTTTGTGGAGCTCAGTGAGACAGCCAGCATCCTGCACCATGCCACCAAACACTCTCTTGTGCTCCTTGATGAATTAGGCAAGTCTAAATGGCCTATTACGGTTTTTTATAGTAACAGTGAAAATCACAGACAGTCTCCTCAGCACTGCTTTGTTCTTTCACTGCTTTATGGTTGTAATCATTCATCTGTGTTTGCAGGAAGGGGCACAGCCACATACGATGGCACAGCCATTGCCAGTGCCGTTGTGAAGGAGCTTGCTGAGAAGATCTGCTGTCGCACGCTCTTCTCCACACATTACCACTCCCTGGTGGAGGACTACGCCAACAACCCCGCAGTGCGCCTGGGCCACATGGTTAGTACAGAAATGCAAAACACACTCAAAACTGCAGTGAACAAGAAAGCAGAAGCAGCGCATTTTAGAACGTTTTAAGGCTAAAAAGCAAAATCATTTAATGTTGTTTAGGCAAATATCTTCAGAATAGATAGCATTTTTGACTATTGCATCCTGTCTATTTTATCTTAAATATGGGGCCAAATACATGACTGTGCAAGTAACCTGCTTACTTATGTTAGGTCCCATATTGCTATTGAGTTCTATACAGTCACATCCTGATAGTGAAGCCTCTGGGACAGGGAAGTCACTTTTCATAATGTACATCTTAGCCTTTGAGGTATTGTGTGCATTCTTTCATACAAAACGAGTTCCCTCAGTAATAACTTGTGTTCAAACTGAGAAATCATTCCTTGAAATCAATAGAAAAGAAACCTCATCTTAATGTGATCATACACTGTTGTGTTGAACAAGAAAAATAAAATCAAGCCATATTTTTATTCTGTTCTATTTTCAACAATGACGTCCCGTCCCTTCTAAGGCGTGCATGGTGGAGAATGAATGTGAGGACCCGAGTCAAGAGACCATCACATTCCTCTACAAGTTCATCACCGGTGCTTGTCCCAAGAGTTACGGCTTCAACGCAGCTCGCCTGGCCAGCCTGCCAGAGGAGGTCATCCAATCAGGACACAGGAAGGCCCAGGAGTTTGAGAAGAGCACCATCAGCCTCCGCCTCTTCAAGTATGTACTAGTGTTGAGGTTAAGACATTCTGTAGCTGCTGCAAAGCAAGACTCTGAATTGGTATAAGAAATGCAAAAGATTAGTTTTAACTCTGCCCCCTGTCTTGTCTTGCAGGAAGCTTTGCCAGTTTGCTGAAGATGTTTCTGTGGGCAACACACACTTTACTTCACTTGTTCAGATGCTCAACAACCTGTAGTGTAAATAAAAAAGGAGAAGTTTTGTTCCTCTGTTTATCACCTGAAAAAACACTACTGTTATGATTTAATAAAGTTTATTTTTTAAAAATGACAATGTTTCATCTAGGAAATTAAACCCTTTTAATTCACGCTAGCGCCTACATAACGGTTATTGAATACTTCACAATATATTAAGTCTAGATGTTATGATACATGCATACATTTCAGTCTGTATGAGAACCCACAATCACCAGTACACATGAAAGTGGGGGGGTGGGGGGACCATAAAGCGCTGCATATAGATACTTGTCTCAGCTTCAGTAGAGTAAAAAGCTTATAACATTCTCCAGCAACATTGGCAAACAAGGAAGAAACACACCGAAGTAAACTTTGCTTTCACAAGACTTGCATCTTTTTTTTCATGACCTTATCAGAGCGTCGTCTAAAAAGGGCATTTTGTTTTAAACAGGCCAATAATCAATGTGTGCCTGTTCCAGAGAAAAACACACTTTGAATAGAGGCTAAAAAGTATCAATTATATTATCTATTGTAGTGAAATCAAACAGTTAAGCAATATAATGCCCTCATCCCATCCTGCATTGTTTGATTTGGTAAAGAGGAAGTATTTGAATGATTCCATAAGTCCTGGCTAAACAAACGGCACTCCCTCAACTGTTCAACAACTGCAGCCTTTAGTGAAGTCTTTTATTTGGCCCCATATTTCCTTCCCGTCAATCCTGTAAAAGGGGTATTGTGCGACAGGACAACACAAACCGGACAAACATAAAATATGCATAGATTATGTAAAACAGACTGAAGTATATTAACTCCCTTTACAAAAATGTCCAATGCTACCACAAACAAAAAGAACACAAGTCTGGTGAAAGCACATTTCAACATCTATTGTTCGGTATTGCAAATGAGTCAACATTGCTGGAGAAATGCTTAGTGTTTTCCTCTGATCTCTTTCACAGAAAGAAGGTAGATACTGCGACATGTATAATTACAGCAATTCTAGGGTATAATGAACACATTTAATAAAATAAAGACATTCAAGTACAGTAAGATTTTTGCATGAAAATACAAAACTACACAAAAAGCATTCAAATCAAATCTCAACAGTTTTGTGAAAAAAAAAAAAAAAGCTGAAGTGCTAGGTCATTTTTCTCGTACATATCGATACGAGCACGTCGGATGCCCAGTGATGGAAGCATTGTTGAATTCGGGGCTCTTTGCCTCCGCATGAGAAAAGTTGTGTCATTTCTGACTGAGCATCTGTACATGACTGCAGTATTTCCTTCCTCCACTTCTTGAAAGCAGGTGAGGCTTTTAGTCCATCTCTCACCAGCTTCCCTTGGCCAAACCAACACATCCACAAACCCTGAGTCAGCTGCTCTTCTTCCTCATCTTTTTTTTGTGTCAAATATTTAAAGAAAAAGAAAAAGTGTGGCATCCATAATCAGACTTTTTTTCTTCTTCTTAATGTCTCCTTTTAGCATATTCATTTCAAAGTCTTTTTTTTTAAGTCACCGTATATGCTCTGTATTTGAGTTTGGACATCCTCCCCCACTGCACAACTTTAAAGTGTCTTGTGTCCATTACTACTGAAGTGTAACAGGGGCTCGAGCTCAGTTGTGCTGCAGCGTGTTGGACTCTATAGGAGGGGCGGAGTCATACAGTGTGTCCGTGTCGTGAGTCGGTTCTCCGGCTAGTGTGCAAGGATTTGACAACGTCCCGGCACCACAGTCGCAGAAAAATCTGTGGGAGGAGGAATAATGGTAAGTAAAACTCCATTAAGGTACGGAGAAAAAAACATTAAATACTGCTAATACTGTTCCTTCTTTAATACACTTGTGTATTACACACACAAATGTAAAGAAAAACCAGGGTTAATGTGGTCACTTTTTATTTTTGAACCACATTGTTTGTTTATGGGTGGATAAGACTGACCTATCGTGTCTGATGAACTCCACGTCGTGTCCTTGGTGACACTTCTTGATGCAGTTCACACAGATGGCGTTGCGGTCTGTTGTGTTACAGGTGTGACACCTGTAGGAACACAAAGTGTTTGTTAACAATCGTAAAACAGACGGGCAGTTTACCGCGGGTCGGCTCGGTTGCGAGTGTAAACAGAAATTACCTGTAAAAATCGTGCATTGGGTAGCTGGTGTAACTTGAAATCTTGTACAGGCACTGACCTCTGCTCACAGCCTTTTCAATGGCATCTTGATTGTTCATTATTTTATTATCTGTGGAGATAAGAGCACAAAGAGAACGTGGTAAACTCCAGGTACATTTTGGTATATTAACTTTCAGACAAACTGCTGCTCTAGGTGATCATGCGAGTACCTTTCATTGTAACATTGACACCAGACGCAAGAAACAATCCCCCAAAGCGATTGTTGAAGATCTGGTTCCCCTCCAGGGTCGCTGTGGCGTGATTGGTAATCTCAATACCTAGTAGTGAAAAGAAAATTAAGTTAATATTACTGAGCTCCTTGTAACCATTAGCGAGGCATACTGTACTTATTCAAAACTGTTGGTTTACACTTGTTTAATTAAGACAGATTGAAGCCTGTGTGCATGTGTTACCCACCTGCTGCGAAGCCGTCAAATATCCGGTTTTTCCGCAGTACGGGGTGGCTGTTGGTGCTGATCAGGACTCCTGCTTGGGCATTTCTGAAGATGTCATTTTCCTCTAACAAACCTGAAGACAGAAAACAGATCGTCAGACACACAAGCCCCTGACATGAAGATGACATTTTATAAATGTATTAGCGATACTAGATTGAAGAATATGCAAAACTAAAGTTATTTGTAAAAGATCGTGTCAATTTATCAAATGATCCCAGCTTTCTGTACAAAGTGTCGACCTCTAATGGCACGTTTCCACTGCAGCGGGTAGCCCCGTTTAAGCGTCCTTAACCGTCCTCAAGCGGACGGTTAAGGAGCCTAGTACCGGCCAGTGGGTACTTTTTCCCTCTTTTTCCGGCCTCATAAAATCGTGGTTCCCTCAGACCAGGGCCAGGGCTGAACTAGTGACGTCAACACTCTCGACTGCTGATTGGTCAGAGAGAATCGTCACAAGATCGCGCGCGAGTTCATCCCCGTCGCATATATATCTAGAAGCAAGCTTGCAGCATTTTTTTAAACAGCATTTTGTAAACGGAGGAGCTACAAAAATGGCTACGTCTAATAAGAAAAGCACACCGTGGTCGACCGAGGAGGTGACGACGTTCCTACATCTCATTGGGGATGATCAAATCCAGCGGGAGCTCGACGGAACAACTCGAAATGTGAACAAAAACAAAGCCGATCGCCCCGCCTACACTGCGTTGCTACCCCAGGTCCTAAACTGTAATGGAAATGCGCCACGGCCTCGGACGGCCAGCGAGGCAGCCCGAGGCCAGAGCGAGGACGCTTAGGGACGCTTAAACGGGGCTACGTCGCTGCAGTGGAAACGCGCCATTAGAGAGCCGTCTTTCTAAAGCGAGTCTCTGTTTGTTTGTCACACAATTCGTTTTAGTGAGAAACAATTAATGTAACAAAAATAAACAACTTTACGACCCCCATTGTAATCAGCATCCCTGTCGTCATCTTACCTCTTCCTCCGTTGAATATACAGATGCCCCCGTCTCTCCCATCGTGGATCTTATTCCTCCGCAGAGTGGGGTTGCTGTCGGTCTTGATCCACACTCCGGCCATAGCATTGTCAAAGATCTCATTGTCCTCGATAAAGCCCAAGCCTGGAAAACACAATGTGTCATTATTATGGGAACGGGGAACAACAGACTCTGTCAGGAGTCGATAAGTACATTGATTCAATTTAAAGACAATCTATCAGACAGACTGTTCTGCTTCTTACCCGAGTTGTAAACCAGAATGCCTCCATTCTGCCCCCCCCAGATCTTGTTCCGCCTGATTTTGGGATTGCTGCCAGTCCTGACAACAACAACAACAACAAAAGAGGGACAGTTGATCAACTGCTTCACTAATGCTAAATGCATTGAGTTGAAAATAGTATTGTAATTTTCCACAAACCTTATTTGAACCCCGGAGTACATGTGATTATAGATATCATTGTCTTCCAGCACGCCATGGCCATTGTCGTAGAAATAGACCCCAACCTGTGGAAAAGACGGAGAAAATTTAAATAATCCCATTTATAGCTGGCATAAAAATGAATGTAATGATCACAAAAGATTCAAAGCAAGCCAGTCTGACAATTCAATTTGCCATTGCAACAGTAAGTCTCTTGAAGGAGTATAGAGAGTCGGTCACTTTATTTGTCTTCATTAAACTTGTAGCCTGTAATGGTACCTGCTTCCCACTGTGTATCCGGTTCCTCCGCAGCACTGGCGTACTTCCCGTTGTCACCCACACTCCTGCCAGCGTGTTGCTGTACACCTCGTTCTCCTCGATGACGCCTTGTCCTTTTTCATGCTGAGGGAAACAAAAAAAATGAAAGATAGGAACTCTAAAGAAGTCAAAAGTTTAAAGAATATATTTATCTAGCTGGTGTAACTTCATGAGTCTTATATTTACCACATATATGCCTCCATGCTGGCCATCGTGGATCTTGTTGTGTCGGACGATAGGGCAGCTGTTCGTCCTGATCTGGATTCCTGCCAGGGCATTACCGTAGATGTCGTTTCCTTCGATAAGACCCCGACCATCACCGAAAATATAAACACCACCTTGGTTACCATTAAAAATGGCGTTGCCCCTGCATTTGAACAATAAAAGGGAATTTGAGGACATGATACAATTGTAGATGGCCAATTTGATTGATTCAGGTGACACTTTGAATGTAGATATTTGACCTCTGACGGCCACACTGACCTTATTGTGGGGTCGCTGTTCGAGGTGATCCACACCCCAGCAAAGTTATTTGCATAGATCTTGTTTTCGATGAACTGCCCGCGGCCCTTTTCGTGCACGTAGATGCCCCCCGTCTGCCCATGATGGATCTCACACCGCACCACTGTTGGATTGGCGTACGCCTTCACCTCGAAGCCGGCTATACGGTTCCTATGGATGTTACAGCTCTCAAAGTAACCCTGGAAACGGAGAGAGAAATACAACATTAGTCTGTGTTATCAAAATACATTTCAGGAGCAACCAACAGAACAAATAAAAGTCATATGCAACCAACCCTTTACACTTAGGCTATACATTCTATAAGCATACTTTAATGAGAGTACTTAAGCCCACAGAGACACATGACAGCGTTATACAAAGAAAACACCAGTAAGTTGTACTCTACCATGCCGTGATCGAATGTGAAGACGCCAACGTCTCTGCCATGGTGGATGTGATTCCGTCTGATGATCGGGTTGCCATGGTTCTTCACCCAGATCCCAGCCAGAGCGTTGTTTGAGATCTCATTGTCTTCGTATATTCCCTGGAAATATTTGACACAGTGAATTCCAAACAAAGAGTTTGATCGTCACAGTCTAGGCGAGTTCTGGGACTAACTGTTAATAAATCGAGCCAGGTATGAGGATTAAGAAGATGGGCTCTGCTACTGTTGTTTAGTTATGCTGAGTTATGCTTTGGGTGAAATGTGGGTGAGTGGGTGCATTACCTGTGCATGGTCAGTGATGTAAAGACCAACATTTTCACAGTCACTAATGTTGCAGTGCTTTATTGTGGGACAGGCCCCCTGGCCGCTGACACAGACCGCTGACCCCACTGAAACAAGCAGGACGGAGATGGATTAGTGCACCGTGTCAAAATACACACCAGAAACAACCTCTGCTCAATCCTGGGAAACCCTCAGATCACCCGTCGGGTCTGAACAGTTCACAAGAGAGCACGCTCGTGAACTGTCAACGGGGGGGGTGTTATGCCGTGTGTGCATGCACCTCGCGGGAGCGCACACAGCGTAAATCTGTACGGCAAAGTACGGTTTGGAAACTATATCATTTCCTTTTGGAGGGCATGCATAACACGGCATAACACCAGAGCCTCGCTGCGGGGAAACGTTGGCGCTGTTCCCAGTTTGTTCTAGTCTGTCAAAATGACAGACTGCTTTCAGATTTTTCCGTCATTGATAAATAAAATATTCGGTTAACGCGACCATTGCTGTCCCAGCAACATCAGTACCAAGCGAGAGAGTTTTTCCAGAGCAGGGGATATTGTAAATGCCCAAACATCCCAGCTTATAAATACCTGGAAATGTGGACATTCTCATATTCCTAAAAACCTGTCTGATGATGCTGAGTGAGTGACTAGTGAGTTTGAGTTGAGTTACGTGAAAAACTAAAGTGAAACTTGATTTATTTCATTGCAGGGTCTGATTATTAAATGTCCTTGTTTATTTGTGAGATGCAGTGGCACAAAGAAAATGCCTACTTTGTTTGGTAGTACTATAGGTACAAAAACACTGGTTTTCTTGTTCAGGTCTGTTACTGTCACTTTGTTTTTGACACTTTAAAATACTGCTATCCTACTAAAATGCTGTACAAATCAGATTTATTATGTAATAAAGAAACATTTTCCGAGTAAAAAAAATGTTTATTGAATTTATTATTTATTTTGTATTATTCAATATCGCGATAAATACTGTACCGTGGACTTGTTATCGCGATATTATCGTACCGTGAGTTTTTGGTATCGTTACATCCCTACAAAATAGAATACATGTCTGGCTATTTTTATATTTTTTCTAGAATAACATAGTTGTTGGATACACCCCAATTTATTTGATGTGTATGATCAGCATTGGTCTATTTTGCCTGTCTTCTTTTAAAGTGGAGTCTGGCATAATCCATTACAGTTTCCAACCTCAATACATTAAGTAGCTTTGGAGTTTCACTTTTTCCTTTCAGATATTAACACACATGCCCCCCCCCACACACACACACACACATATATATATATTACACACTAACACTTGCCAAGGAGAGTGTGTCTGTAAGAGAGAAAGAGATTCTAGAGAGAAGCGGTGCGACCGCGAGTCTCGTGCCCGCAGCTTGAAATAATACTGAGACATTGGCATAAAGTCAATTACCACATGCCATGTAAAACTAGCCACGATACGTTTATCCAAGTACATGTATATTGCCGAACCCTACTTGTGACTCCTGTGAAGGTGGGGAACCCCTGAGCAGCGGACTGACCTGTGCATGTGCTGCGTATGATGCAGTGGTCGATGATGGGGCTGCAGTTGACGGTAATCTCGAGGCAGTGGTGTGCGTTGTGGTGCTGGGCGGATTTATCATCAGGATTGAACTGCGGCAGAAACAAAAACACTTCACTGTGACAAAAGTCATTAAACTAACAATGACTTACAATTGCTTTCACACGTACTGAGTGAGTGCACACGTCAACCATTCGTCCTGTACAAACCACCAAAAAAGAGAAAAGTCTCACCCTAATGGTCATGTATCCAACGTAAGCATCTTCGGAGCCTTCCATGAATACAAACGTAGAGTCTCTGGTATTCTCAATGATGACTTTCTCTGCTACTTTTCCAGGAGCTGCACAAATAATCAGAAAGATTCAATTAGAGACTAAACAAAAGCACAATGAAACTGAAACCTTGACTTCACACACCAGCTCCGATCATCGTGATGGGCGACTCGATGTAGATCCACTCATCTGTGTAAATACCAGAGTGCACGAATATCAGGCCGTCAAAGTGAGGCTCCTGACCCCCACCCAGAGCGTCCTCGATGGTGTCGTAGTACTGAAGAAAGCATCACAAGTCAGGTAAATGATTGGAACATTAATGTGAAAAATGAAAAGGCAGAACAAGTTGACTTACAAACATGTTGTCTCTTCCTTTGTATCTGGCAGGATTACTGTAAAAGTGTTCTGCAAAGCCCGGCTTCACGTGTGCTCCTTTATACTGTAAACAAAGTATTCACATGATTATTCACAAACTGAAGAACAAAAAGACATTGCACACATTTTGGACAAGATGGGGGAACTTTCACTGGAGAAAATGGGAGACATTTTGGTCCACAGATAACAATAAGGAAAGGTCAACGTATCACAAAGGAATACATTTTAAAAACATAGTCCTCCTCTATGCCCTGCATACTGAATGTCACCATTGTAGCCTGTGGTGTTGCCCTTTCACATGACATTAGCTGACTGTACACAGGAGGATTTAAAGTCACAACGAAAATATAGATTTAAAGATTACAAGAAAACAAAGTGGATCTTGCTCTCTTTCCTTCATTTTAGCATTCCGTGTCCAAATATGCTGTGTGTAGGAAGAAATGTGTGTATGCTTAATCAACCACAAATACGCTTTAACATCTGTTGGCTTCAAAATACTTAGGAATGTTTGAGAAGTAAAGTTATTTTATAGCACAGTTAACGTTACGACATATATCTAACATGAAGACCCTAGTGACCATAGAGAGAAGTGCAGTGACAATGTGTTATTTGTTTGATAATGAAATATAAAATCAATAGTTTTTTAACCGGGGCAAAATATGTTTGCTAAAAATACAACAGACAAGCCATGAAGCAGGGACTTTGATGAAAGAGGAGGAGGGTCCGTACCAGCTGCTGAAAACTTTCCTTCCACGGGTTAGGCTGCTCGTACTCTTCTGGGTTTATCTGGTAGAACTTTCCCGCCTCGGGGTGCATCATGGGGCGCGTGTATTCAAACACTTCCATGTAAAGCTTCTTCCTGAAATGAGATTAACACATTTTTATCATTTGTGTCAGAATTTCTCAGTACACAATACCGAAGCTCTTTTAAAGTAGCCTCAGTAAAAGGTCTGTTTTTACGTCAAGTACAAACTTGATGATTGACTTAAAAGCCAAAACAAGTCAAAGGTTCACACCCTTACACGTCAAGCTGACATTTGCACCACGGTCAACTAATCGGTAAGATAATCTTCTGCTCTGGTAACGTTTATATTAAAAAGTCTCATAAAATAAAATGCACAACACAGTCAGAGGCAAATCACAGCCGCAGTCAAATTGAAATAAATAGTTTCAAGCGTTAAAGCTGTGTCTTATGTTAAATAAACAGCCTGAGCAAAAGCAGCAAATAACACAGGGGACCCCCAACCAGACTCACCAGAGGATGGGGTCATTGGCCAGCTCACTGAAGCGCTTGCACACACACGCTGCACGGCACAAGTCCTGCTCCAACAGGTAGGAGAAGATCTTTAGCACCACCTCGTCTGGGAGCTTCTCCTGCAGATACTGCTCTGCTGGAGCTGCTGGGAGTTACAGTTTAATTAAGAAAAGTACTTTTGTTTACCCTAATCTGAGTAGCATTGCTATTACAGCTTGGCTACCTAAGTGAATTAAAACATTTAATACAGTAATCCAAGATGATATACATTTCATCAGTTAAGCTTTTTAAATGTTCACTTTATTTGACAGTGAGGACTTGAATTAATATGTTATTTTCCCACAAATGTGAGCAGGCTGTACCGACTGGACGGATGCCTTTTCTTGTGAGGCCTTAATCGAGGTCTAAATTCAGATCCCAGAACTAATACAAGACCAGCCGGTCCAATCCCATTCCAATTGCAAGAGCTGAATGCTACGTAGTTTGACCAAACTGTTTATTTACACATTGGTTACTGCTTTTCCATGCAGTTCAAGTTTAGCCTTTCTGGGGATTTTCAAAACGTATTTATGAAGCGGAACACTTTGTTCATCACACATTAACAAAACAAAAACATATTGTCTTAATTTTGAAAAAAGAAGAAGAAACAAAACGCTGTATTGTGTAAATAAATGTCATATTTGCTATTAGGCAGTAAATCTGATATTAAAACAGATCATGTGGGTAACAGTGAGAACACCACAAGGCAATGTGCCCGTTAACTTTGACACCACAAGGCCTTGTATGATGAGAGGAAAGCCAGAACCATATGCCATCATGTCTATAACGGATTCTTTGGCTAGAGCCGCACTGTATGAGAAAAACTCCAAATGCCACAAATAACAGACTATAATTTATACTCTGTGAAACTTGTGGTGCTACTTCTTCATGTCTTGACCAACGAGGCTTTTTAAAGAGATGATCTGAACTTCTGAGAGGTTGAAACCATTAGACATCTACTTTTCTGAAGCCAAGGTTAGTCTAGGAGAAGGGTGAACTCAGAAAAAAGTTCCATGATACCGATCTGTGTCAAACTGTATCACTGTGTGTACACATCTCGGTACAAGGATAACATAAGTGTTTTTTATTTACCTGGTAAATCTTGACACTTTCCTGAAACTCTTGGGCGCTTTGGTCGGTGTCCAAAGTTTTCTGTGGTTGAAGTGGAAGCACCCTGTAAAACAAATTGGAGACATTTGAACATGAATTGTTGTGTTTTTTTAAAGATTAAATCTTAATCATTTATACAATCTTTTCAGAATTCCTGGCATATTTACCTCCATGTTTGTCTTTGTCGGACACACTGTTCTCTTGGGTAGAGACTTTCTTCTAAGTTGGTAGGGACTGTTCTGAGCTCCTGGACCGGATTCTTCTGCGACCATATCTGCAGGAACGTCCTCATCTGCAAATGGTGGGAAAGATTATTTGAAAAACTACGTTTAAATCAATTCAAAAATATTCTAAGATATGAAAAGGGTACAGGTCAAAGAGAACCATGTGTTTAATGTCTGATGAACCACATATTCATTATGTAGAGTTGAAATGTGCTTATTAAAAGAGTGAATCAGGCAGTGGATATTCCTGAGCTATCACCAATAAGCATTATGACTAAATACACAGTGTGTATTTGCTTGTGTCAGATCTTTGCTTGAACAATCAACATGAGTAAAAACCATCAACTTATAGTTTACCATAATCTATTAGATTCAGAGCTTCCAACCCAAATGTGTCAATAAGCGAAACATTGGGACAACACATTACCAGAGGCAATTGCCTAAACAGCATTTGTCAGCAGGTCACAGGATAACAACCAGATCAAACAAAAGCAGGTTTTCTACATTACCTGCTCTGCTTGCTTCAAATTGATTACAGATCCTATCGAGAGGATTCAATCAACAGCACAACCACAACCAAATGGTCTAAATGTGACATCTATTTATAAGGCTATTCACCATGGCACAATAAGTTGATACCACAGATGGGAGATGCAAACTCTGTCTTGTTGTTGCTCTGGTTGCAAGGATGACTCTCCCCAGCTACTAGGCCAGTAACCACTACAAACACCATCAATGTAACAAACTGGGCAAAAGGCAACTTTTGGTAGTTGTAAACTCACATGTTGTATAGGGTTTACTGCCTTGTTTGACCAAATCAACACATTTAGGACAAGAGGCTTACATCCATAGCAATCCATATCAAAGCAAATATACAGTTTGTTAAATGGGGAAAGATACCATTGTCAATATTATTTATCACCCACACTATAATCGTTTTTCTTTTTACTGTAACTTTAAAATGACATTTCAGCTAAGCTGTGAACATGATTTAAGACAAGGGAAAGCCTAAAACAACCCATACTTCACAAAGATGAGCTTGGCAGGGCATCCTACATAAGATTGTTTTGGTTAAATGATCAAGATATTGCCTGTGTTTTTACAATTATTATTTTTTATTTGAGAAGATAAGAGCATTTGCTGCCGTTTGCCACTGAATTGATGATGTGGGATCCAAAAATAACATGTCACTGGTCCATTCAAATCGTTGAAATGCATTTGGGAAGCAACCATTAATGTTACTGATTAGTGTCTCCCAGGTTAACTGGTTCTGTAGCAGCAGTGGCTTCAGCTATGATTAACGTTACGAGCATTCCTAGCTAATGTTTACTTTGAAATATAGCTGTCAATATTTGCCTACATTACGTCTATGGACATACAATGGTACGGTAGAAAAAACAATATATTAAATGTGACATTAATAACAAGCATGATATAAATGCATTTACATTTTGACGCTACAAAAGGCTATTAGGCTGGGTGCTTTTACAAAAACCGCCAGGACGCAGATAGCAAGCCAAACATGCTAATAATAACAGCTATGTTAGCACGGGCAGTTAGCATGCTACGACAACTTGCGATACCACTTTGTATACCCTTCCTTGCGGTTGTCGCTCATGAATAAACATCACCATTGTCTATTGCCTGTCATTATCTCTACTGGTCTAACATTATTTACCTAAGAATGACACAAGTATGCAGTGATATGAGGTCAGACGGATAAAAGAAAGACCGAGTCGGGGCAAAAATTAAGCAAAACAAAGCGCGGCCTGATTGCTAGGAAAAAACACAAAAGCATCGGTGTTTCCTGACTGCACTAGGACCCGCTGAAACTACTGCTAGCTCCCTGACGTTAATTACAAAAACCGACGTTTTTCTTATGCACATGTTAACGGTTATACGCGGACATAAACAATACACAAGCCCCTACAAGTTAAATACACAATTCCACCCTGAAGCCAGCCTTTTGACAAGCCATTCCGTAAAGCTAACGCTAGCTTAGCGTAGCTAGGGTTACCTCTTTCCTGGTGGTTCCTCTCCGGCTGTACCGGGCGCGGCCTCGAGACTCGCCTTGGTCTTCTGCTAACGTTACTTGCTCTGACGGAGTTCATTTGGGGTGTTGATAATCTTGAAATGTCAAAGCCTTCACAGCAGAAGAGGCGACTCTAAGCACATCGTCTATGTAATTTTCTTGAGCATTGCACGATGTGCCATCTTTAGCCGTGGCACCTGAAAAACGTATCGATGTGTGTTATTCCCGTTCCTCTGCACTGGTGTTACGTCTGGCCCCGTTCTACTGTAGCAGGAGGAGCCATAACAGACAGGCACGGTCCGTCGGGCCTCAGTAACATCACATGGGAGGACCTCTCGCCGGTCACATCGCTTTCCCCTTTCAAGGCGGTCAATTCAACAGTGATTAGCCTACATTTAATTTTGGAGCTCAGCCATGCAAGCACCCACCATGGGAAAATGTGCTGTTTGTCCCATATTAGCAGTCAACCTCACATCATTTGTAGGTAAATACAATCTGTATAATAATCCTGGAGGTAAGGAGTCATGCCCAAAAGCACATTGGCAAAAAAAAAACACACACTAATCAAGGAGTTTGAACATTCCTTCACCCAGAGCACCAGAAATGTATGCTGTGTGTAACACCAACATTCCCAATAACACATAGGCCTATCATATTTTGTCATGCTATGATACAGTTGGCCAATTTTTTAATGTTGACCTAATGTTATAAATGTATTTATTAGGATGAAGCCTTTCTTGATATGCAGCTTCTCGTTTTCAAGGGGGTCCCGAAGGTTGGTTTACAATGCATGATCTGTTTAAATACATTTATTACAAAGCAAAACTCTCCCTTGAATAATCTTGCATTGAGACTCACGATACATGTTGGATACAAGTGGTCAATATGCAATTATTTTTGTAAACAAGTTAAGATAAGATACAACTTTATTGATCCCATTATCATTATGGGAAATGTTTTTAAAACATTTTTTAAAAGGTCTCTGCATTTGACCCATCCTAGTGTAAGGAGCAGTGGGCAGCCACGTTGTGCAACGCCCAGGCAGGGGACTGTGCCTTGCTCAGGGGCACCTCGTGGTACTTTGTCGTTACAGGACTTGAACCTTCCAGTTCCCAAGCCAAGTCCCATATATGGACTGGGCAACCACTGCCTTAGTTACTGTTCTGAGGACATGCACCTAGTATTGAACAAACATTCCTTCACTTTCAAAAGGGTCTGTTGAAGAGATTTGGCACCTGCTAAAATGCTCAAAGTGCTAAAGTGCTCCTCCAGGCAGAACAGCTTGACATGTCCTGCTTGCTTTGGTATCACTCTGACCTGCTACAAGCAATTACAGAATGGATGTTTGGATAATTTATCAATTTGTTGTCAAAAGATACTTTAGTCTTCGAAGATTCTGCTACAGGGAACCTTAGGACAGCAATGTTTTATTATGTCTTCTACAAGGGTTTATTCAAACTTTCAAACCTTACAGTGTCTAGTACACCATTTCATAGTGTTGTATCATGTTTCTAATATTGATAGGGAGGAAACTATTATAGCCAACCTGCCAGAGTTGAGGTATGACTGAACACTTAGAAAACCCAGTTTCTCAAAGTCCAAAATGATGTCTTTAAATGGCTTGTTATGTCAGTACAAACCCCAAGTTGATCACTTAATCGAGTAGTTGATTAATCCTTGTAGCTGTACTTCTGTCATTCAAGTTTTTCAGTTTAACAGAAACAATTTTCCAAAATAAGATGTGAAGTATTTTCTGTAACGTGGGTTTATTGATGGTCTCTCATTGGTCACTACATACAAACAAGTTGCAAAGTTGTCCACTAGATGTCGCCTTATCTCTACTTTGGTGAATTGACTGCATGTTGTGTTCAAGATGAGCATCACATTATACTTTACATCAGTGGCATGTCACTTTTTGTCTCTATTGTCTGAATATTTTTCAGGGTTTCATGCTCAAATCTGAGCTTTCTTTAAATACATCCTGAGCAGTTACTCCTGTCAGTCTTTAAACCACCCTCTTGCCCCAGGATGCTGCCATGGCAACTCGTTTGTCATACTAATAGTATCAAATTTAATGTGAGAAAGGATCTTCACTCTGATAAACTGAAAACATAGTCAATATTTTTTTCTCATATGGAAATCAATATGTGCCTCCAGTGAACATATTGTCATTTATTAGCCTTTTTCTGGCTGTTTTAAAAATAATACTGTATAACTGACTAATGAACTACCCACAGTAAATTAGTTAAACTGAGTTTCAAAAACTACCCTGTAACTGCCTTTAGGTGGCAGCATGCTCACAACCTTTTTTTAGTTTTCATACACCTCAATAGTATTTATATTTTCTGATTATGCATAATGGTATGTTTTATGCCTCCAATCAACCCCATTCCTGTCAGCAGAGCCATCTGTGATTGTATTGCTCTGTGGTCATTGACCCATCTGTGATTTGTGTCTGTATGTCTGTCTGCCCCAAGAGGTTAATGCTGAATGACCTCATGACAGGAGTCTACTGAGATACTTGTGTCAGCCTTTGAATTGTACACAGAACCCTTAGTCCCATTAGCCAACATTAGTAGGTGTTATGCTACAACCTGAAAGAGTTCTTGTAGTGTTGGTTGTGTTTCTTCCAATGTTAAATAGGCAGTTATGTGGCTAGTTATGAAATGATCACCTTTTTTTTTTTCTGAATGGACTTTTTTTCAGTGGTAACAGTGAATGACAAACTAAGTGTCCTTGTGTTCATGAGGCACTAGGTGTTGTCCTCTGATGATAAAATGGTTGGACTCAGTGTTGCCATGGCTAGAAGGGAAAAAATGTTTGCCCTGTCTTACATAACCTTTATGTCTTCCTACTTCCATTTTCATAGTGAATCACCAGTCCGCTTTGAAAAAGATACAGTAAAAATTACTTTACCTAAACCTAGATCATGTGGAGCTTAACTCTTAAGATATCCATTGTTTTCAACACTAATCTGTTAGAGATATGACAGTGAGGCACATGTGTTGGCTTGGTAACCAATCCAGTATCCAGTGGCAACAGAGGTCTATTGAATGCTGGGTGCCTCTGTATTGGCTGCTGTGCCCACCACTCTCCTGTGTCACAAAGTCACAGATGCACAACCATATAGACGCTCTGAATAATAGCGGGGTTGTGTCATATTCAGCCAAGGAGTCAATATTGTGTATATGTGTGGTTGGGGAGGGGTCATCCGAGCACTGATGAACACAAATGCTCTTTGTGTTCAACGACTTAATGTACTGACCTGCAGGTGGTAGCACTCACTGTCTCTGCCACTTTATCTGTCTCTCTATCAGATGTATACAAACACAGCAGTTTATGCGCTTAAGTCTTTGTAAAGCATCCTCCCCTTGACATTCTATTCTTAAATGAAAAACACATTTCAGTATTGTGTTCATTCTCTGCCATCATTGAGTCCTATCCACATCTGAAGGCATCCACTGGTGCAGCAGCAGACACAACAGGATAAGCGTCTTTGTCTCAGACTCCTGTCTGTCAGAGACACCCCCCTCCCAGCCTCCTCTATTTGGGCGGCTGTTACAGGAGGGCAGATGGCTCATTACCATAAATAGGACAGAGAGAGAGAGTGAGTGAGGGGGCCGTACACACCGACCAACAGGACCACGGCGCCCAAAAACCAAGGAAATGGGAGGCCGTTGCTAGGAGAGAGGAAAGACAGCTTTATGGCAACACAAAGCTGATTTCCCCATCCGACCTCATCCCGCTCCCGCTCCCGCCCCCTCGTTCCCCTGCTCTGGGGACCGAGTTTTGAATCTGCTGGTTGGGGACAGATGGTCGATGGGCCCCACCATCTCTACCACTGGACACAGGCTACACTGACACAGTCAGACCTGGCAGGACTGAATCACACCTTATCCTGTCCAACCTATGAGGAGCGGGAGCAGGAAGAGCTGGAGCCCAGGCCATCAGCTAAGAATAGATCTACACTTGTTGCCCACAGGAAATGTGTGGCTGCACAAGAGATGATAATATGTTAAGAGTTTGTCTTTGTAGTAGTGATGTCTTTTCGCTAGAGTGAAAATCAATCACTGATGTTAATCACAGGACGCGCTCGCTTTTCTATTGCTGCTATCTAGTTACTAACCAGTTAATGACAATGATTTGGTCAATCCAGAAGTTCTTATATGATACAGCCATCCACAAAACACACATACACAAACAATCCTAACATCATGAAAATAGTTTTATTTATTTTTTATTTAATTTTAGCTCGATTATTTGTAATCATTCTTGTTTATCCTAATCTGCATCCCAATTCATGTCAGTGCCCTTGTTTTTAACGATGTTTGTTATGTGTGTCCATCCATGGGAAATTGTAAAAAGTGCACTGAATTAGGGGAGAGTGAGGTAAGGTGAGGAACTTGGAAAGTACTACTTATATATATGTTTGTATCAAGACACCACTTCTGAAACAAAAGCACATCTGCTCCCACTCGACCTTTGGTTCAAAGGGCAAGAGCAGCCAACTGTCTGACTGACAGGAAGGAGGTGAGATCAAATGACAAAATGAGTCTAATCTAAATAAACAAACAATTTATATAAATAGGTCGTAATTATTGAATGGTCATCTAGATTCTAGATTACACACAACAATCTGCTAAATTCATATCATTTGCCATGATAATTAATGTGGGCTGCTGAGGTTTGGGACATTTTGCATATTGTCCTTGGGGAATTGGGGCGGGATGTTTGACAGTATAACATGCATGTGCTGGCAAGGCAGAGGGATGGGAAAGGAGGGAGAAAAAGGACAACTAACCAGAACGAGCGGAAGAAAGCGTGGCAGCAGCATGACAAGTAAGCAGAATAGAGGCGGTCCTGCATCACCTAGCCCTCCACCCTGGTTGCATAGGAACACGAAGGCCCATGCCTACCCTGCAGACACACTCCTTTTCCTCTCTCCTCTGCCACGCTTCATTACCCAGTGCTCAGACAGGCACAGAGAGGCACTGCACCACTTTCTCCACACTACAGCCGTGTGCCCACTCACAGCCGTGCAGCCAGGCTCCCCGTAGACCCGGGCAGGGTATAGCTGCCCCTCCGGCTTCAGGTCACACTCACTCTATATGCATAGTGCAGAGACAACATAGGGAGGTTTGAACTGGTATCATAACACTAAGCAGTGTTTCCCCAACCTTTTGTTTCTCCAGTCCCATAACATGACTTCAAGGTCAAATTGGCACACCTGTCATGGTCCAAATGTGTTCATTAGATATGATTTTTAATTGGGATAATATCTCATA